CAAGGTCCTTCTTGGGAGCGAGGAACCCAAACCTGACACCCCAAATCCAGAGGGAGACGATCCCTGCTGGCAAACTCCAGAACCTGGAAAAACCTGAGGAGCAACCCGAGGTCCTTCAGGTGCTTCAGCGAGGGGTTTGGGTGTCAGGCTGGGCTGAGTGGAGCTCTCTCCCCGTGTCCCCCACAGCTGGAGGATGGAGTCGGGGTGGTGGGGAGCTGGCAGACCGTGCGTGTCCCCGGCAGCGAGAACGAGCTGCGCCTCACCGAGCTGGAGCCCTCCAGCCTCTACGAGGTCCTGATGGTGGCCAGGAGCTCTGCTGGAGAAGGCCAACCTGCCATGTTGACCTTCCGCACCAGCAAAGGTGGGTGCAGCACCCTCAGAGGAGCTCTGAATTCGGTCGTGTCATCTCCACGGCCCCCACGGAGCCATGGGTGAAAGGTTCCTGGTGGTGGTTGCTGAGGAGCAACCTTGAGTAGCTCAAACAGCTCCAGGGTAGACTTCCCTCAGCCTTCCCAGGGTGGTTGGGCAGGAGAAGCTGTGGAAAGCTGGAGTTTCTTCTTGCTGAGAGGAGCTAAGTCAAGGAGCAGCTCGCCCTTGTCCAGGTTTTTTTGGGGGGTCACAGAAGACACTTTGCACCACCAAGTTTTGACCTGACAGCAAAACCTCTGGTTTGCTTTGGAGACACCTCGGTGAACATCTCCCCACTCTTTTGGTGGTCAGGTGCAGACCACAAGCTGAAGAGCTTTTTTAAGCAGAGTTTTTTGTCCTTCAAGCTTGGACACTTGGACACTCCTTAGTGCTTTTCATGTTAAGAACCAGATAGCATAAAATTTTATCAAGAATCCCAGCCTGGTTTGGGTTGAAAGGACCTTTCAAGGTCATCTAGTTGTTTTTATGGACCTAAACATCTAGAAGAAAACTAGAAACTTCTAGACTTCTGCAAACTTCTAAACATCTAGAGGTTTTTATGGAACTTCTTTCTCCATCCATGGATTTTTGGGTGTCTTTCAGCCCGTGTTGTGATTTTTTGAGGAGAAAGGGGGCTTTGAAACCCAGGCAGGAGCTGGTGGCCTCCCCACAAAGTCCCCTGTGAGGGGCATTTTCTCACCCCAACCTTGTGTATCGAATCTTTCTTAGAAAGAACCTCATCCTCCAAGAACACCCAGGCCCCCTCCCCACCCGTGGGTGTCCCCAAGCACCCTGTCCTTCACGAAGGGACCAAGAATTTTGGAGTCATCCTTCCAGACCTGTCTCGCCACAGCGGAGGTAGGTGGGAGGATGGGTTGGTGGAGGTTGTGTTGGGAGGGGGACACATCCACCTTCTCTGGTGTTTGTTGGGTGCTCGTAGGAGCTCCTCTAGCCTGGATTTATTCCCTCAGCTCCTTGGATGTCTCTGCTCTGCTGGACAGTTTGGGTTTCTAGCAAAGCCTCTTTGCTGGGGGGGCATCAGCCCAACCTTGAACCTCGTTGAGTTGCTTCAAGCAGCCTTACCCCAGGGCTGAGACCTCAAAGGTGACTTGGTCTCCAAAATTTTGGACAAACCAAAAGGGCAGGGGAGAAGTTGAAGAATGCAGGTGAGGGGCTGAGCTTTGCACCCTTGTGCCAGGAGAAGAGGAGGAGCCTCCCAGGGGACACCCAACCTGCTTTGTGCCCTCAGAGCTCCTGGGTTCCTTTGGCCAGAGCTTTCTGGAGCTGCTGGTTGGTTCTTGCTGGGTTCCTCCTCTCATCAGCCCCCAGCCCTGTGCTGGTGACAGCAGAGGGGGTTTGCTAAAGCTCTTGTTGGTCATGGGGATGGTTTTCAACAGGTTTACTAACCCCACCTCTT